TATGAAACTGTTTTGCTTTAGCGTTCTTTCCTCGCTTCATTATTTTATACAAACAATCAGGAGCTGCATCAAAGTCTCAGTCGCAGCGGCAGTGTTATTCTTCACTAACTGTGTGCTGATTGCCCTCAGACTGCAGCTGCAGCAACAGGGGATTGTAGTTTGCGGCTTTTGCAGCCAGCACTACTTACAGGGAGTTGTGTGTGGGCGTGACCCCTTGGTTCTTCTCTGCAAACAACTGAATCCGGAGTGGAGACTTCCTCGGGACTCTGCTTTCTGACGTTGCACCATCATTTCAAAAGTATTTCCACGTGGTCAGCCAGAATGACAAGCAGAGTCTAACTACATGACATCTTGTCAATATTTAATAACATCGTCTGACACGAGCAAGGCTCAAATGTCAAATCAGGAGGAAGGGCTGTTAGCGTTCTGCAAGATTGTGACATTTTGCTGGTGAAAATAATTGGTAACGTATAAAAAGGCACACAGAAGATCTCAGGTAATTACAGGAGACCAAGTAAACAAAGCTGGCACTTCTCTGGTTGGTACTAATCACCAGATAAATGTCTGTCAGGTTGTTCTTGAATATTTAATGAAAAAATATTTACTTTAACGCGCTTGCTGGAAAGACACTCTGATAAATCTCTTTGGTCTGAACAAATGAAACCATGCTGGGCTTTAAACATGTTGCTGACACAAGTTCTTTGAAAAAGAAAATAATGTAAGGGAGGCAATAGGCAGCTTCAGCTTGCTTTTAGCACCCGCAAGTGTCCGTTTGTAAAACCAAAACCAATCTCCTCGCTGTGCTTTCGTCTTTTTAGCACCTCAATCTAATGAGCTGGACACACGGGAGGCAACATCGCCTCTCCTCCATTCATTTTCAATGAGACATGCGCGACAAAGCGATAATCGCGGGTCTCCCTCCTACTAAGCGAAACGCGAAAAACGTGCGTGTGAAACTTTGCGTTCGTGCACGTGTCGTGCACAGGTGACCCAGCGACGCGATCCCAGAAAGTTGAAATATTTTCAACTTTTCATCGCTGTCGCTCGGACGAGGACCAATCAACGGAGGTTTCATTCACTGACCAATGAGCGGACAGGATGCTCCGTACATCTCCGAGCAAACATGGACTCTGTTTCTCCTTCTGTGACTGTGTTCATCTTAATGTGAGGTCCAAACCGTGTGATAAACTGAAGCATGTCTTGATAGACAGAGAGTAGCCCTCTCCTGGTTTGTAATATGGAATGAACCCATTCTCTGTTTTTTTTATATAGTAAAATCAGAAGTAAGATTTCACATAACTCTAGCAGCACCTTGTGAAACATCATATCTACCGCTTTATTAACTCTGAACCGCTTAAATAACCTGAATTCCCTCCAACCTGACACAGCCAATCAAAACAACGGAAGATTCGATTTCGCCATGGAACAGAACGCGTCGACGGCTTTGCCGCTGCCGCGGGTCACCTCACGTGTGTCAGGTAATAAAAGCGACAGTGACGAATTTCGCTGATCGCGGTCGTTTGTCGCCTCCTGTGTGTCGAGCCCATAACAGCTGAAACGTCTCCCAGCCTTCATTAGTGTCTGCAGGAGTGATTCATCACAAAATTCAGCCGTGGTCATGATCTAAAACATGTAGGAAATGTGCTGGAAGAAGACCAGCGCCAGGTATGAAAACTCTTTTTTTTTCCAACAGACTGGACCGGTCACTCTTAAGTTGCAAACTGAACTTTCTGGCCACAGGGGGCGATAGAGGCTTTGTGGGTCATTTTAGCTCATACTGGCTAAAGAAAATGATTAAAAAATATGAAAAGTTTGCTAAGTATCTCTTTAAAGGAAATAATATGGGGGTATTTTGGTTCTGGTAAAGGACAATGTAAACTACAAACTTCAAACAAGCTTGTCGAGTGTTTTCTGAACTCTGAAGCTGTTCAAACTTCTGCCTAAATGGTTTCCTTTGCTGTTGGGCATTGTTGAACAGATCTAAGCACTCTTTGCAGCATCTTTTTATCTGCTTCAGAGCCATTCACATTCCAGACCATTACAGCCGTCTACAACACACCGATAGAAGAAATCAAAAGTTTTACCAGCTCCACAATTTCTCATCCAATAAAGAGCCAGGTAAGTGCACCATCACCTCACCTGTTTTTGCTACATTGCTGCTTAGGCTGCTGACAAACACCAAACAAGCTCCTCAACCCCCTCCTGTACATGTTGTTGGAAATCAAACCAAGAACAACAATAATGTCATCTGCAAACTTGACAATGTCATTGCAAAGATTTTTTGGAGAACAATCATGTGGATGTAGTTCATAAAGGAGGGAGAAAAGAGCCCATCGTTGTGGAAAACTGGGATTGTACACGATAGTAGATGAAAGGCCACGGATCTTCACAGAATTTGGTAAAGCCTTTATAAAATCAAAAACACGTTGGATTTCAGTCTTTAAAGCTGCAATGGCTAATCTGTAAAGCAAGCTAGCTGTGAAACAAACAGAGTCACAGAACTCTCACCTCTTCCATTGGCTATCGCTGAAGACCACGCCTGCCTGATACTGGAACGCACATTGCAACAATAAACAAGAAAGCACAAAACACCAGTCAGTATTTTCTAGGTCCAAATGTATTTTGTTTTCTGTTTCAGATGGTGTTTTTCTTTTTGGGACTCTGGTAGTTCATCCTTACATTGAAGTGGTGTCAGGTGGCTGTTTCTTCTTCTCTGATAATGTTGAGTGGAGAACCTCTCACACCACTGATGTTCTGTTGCAAAATGTGCAAGCGGGTTGGTGAGATACGCAATCGGATGGTCCAATCATTGGCTTTGAACCGAGCCGTGTTATTGGCTGAGAACCACAATTTATTTTAACCCCAACAAAACTTTACAGATGTACTATATTAGAACGTTACTGGCATGAAATAAATGTTTTAAACCAACGTATTCTGCAGATTTGCCATTGTAGCTTGAAATGACTCAGTTAAGCAAAGTGGTAAAGTAACAGTACTTTAAGGTAATAAAGCTTAATGAAAGTCTTCGTGGCCACTGATGGATGTCTTCTTTTCAGACATTTACAGATTGTTAAACTTGTGATAATTTAGCCTCGATCTCCGTCTTGTGAGCTAGAGTTGATATGATTGGTTTCAAATGGATACGTGGGCCCAAAGTACGAACAGCAAGTCTTTAGAAATCATCTTAATGATGCATCGTTTG